CTTTTCAGATAAACTTTTGAAGAACCGCGTGACAAATATTCCTAAAAATGGGCAGGATGATAAGTAAAAGCCTTGGTTGGAACGCAATTTGTCAACACTGTCCATCATGTTGCAGAACAAACCCAGAAGTTAAGAGTTTTGTTAGGCCTATATTTTCCTCCATTCTCTATTTTCCAAACCAATCTCTGCCTCAAGACTAGCCGCTCTCCACTCTGTGTTTCTATGGCAACACTCAAAAAAAAAAACCCAAAAGGCGTTTAGAAAGAAAATAGCATTTATTGTGGTTGAAAATTATATATCAAATTTAGCGATTTCAAAAGAAACTGTAATAAGAGCAACAAAATAAACCATTTCACATCCAAAATTGCCTGTGTAGACATCGATCGAACTTGTTTGAGCTTCGGTTGTGAATAAAGCTTGGTTTTGAAAGTGCTCAAACTCACGCACCTTGATCCCTGAAACAATACACACCTGTCAAAGAGAAATTATCCAGAGAATAGTCAACAGACAAACTGAGCTGCAACTCTTGTGAAGGGTTTAAGGGTCTTTTGGAGGGGGATTTGTGAAGTGGTCATGACTGACAGGTTGGACTGATACTATACTAGAGTAAATTACAGGTAATTTCAGGTTGGAAATGGAGACAGTCAAAACCGCTGTCCCTCAAATCGCAAGCAGTCAAGAATTTGAAATAATTAGCATACATAGTTAGTTCTCAAACCATTGGTGACAAGCTTCAAACTCGCTTGGTTACAAAAACGCTTGAACATTTCTGAAACAATTTCATTTGAACATTTCTGAAACAATTTCAAAGTGGCTGTCGGTAGTGCATGACACAAGAAGGCTGTTTCCTATGTTTACAGATAATGAGCTTGTATTTGTCTTGTCTGAAGAGGCTAAATTATTGTGGAATGGACACATGCTCATTTGGCACAATTTTAGTTACATAATGCTAATTAAAGGCCCATTTTGAACAGGCATTTATGAATATTATTATATTATGAATATAATAATATTATAATATGATCATTTTGCTTAAATGTAAAGTAGGGATGCACAATTCTGGCTAAAATGAGAATCACAGTTTCTTTTTTGCTTAAAATCAAGATTTTCATATGATTCTGTATATGTTAAATACGGGTTTTATATTAGACCTATGTGTAGCTCTACTGTTGGTTAAACTAGTAAATTTTGCAAAGATTTGGAATGGTGGACCTAAATAGACTTTAAATCTGTCCTGTATAGGACTGTTCTGAATTCAACTAATCATGATTCTGAAGTTAAATTATTGTGTTTGAGACAAATGCTAGTAATTTGTCATTGACAACATTATTAGACTTTTTTTTTCACTGATAAAATGAGACATTTTATCAGATTCAAATCTTGCATTATAAACTGACACTGTTGAACATTTATTTTTATGCACAATACTTTGTGTTCGCTATGAAAGAAAAACATCAAATGCTTGCCATAATCATAACTCTAAAACGTAATATGATGACTTAAATGATGTGTGAACTTTTGGTTTCACTTTCACTTTAGAGTGCAGCTCATGGCTGCTGTCACTTTGTGATTAAAATTATACCAATCATCTTTCCCGCACGGCTCCCAAAACAATCGCTCTGTACAACAAACTGAACGTTATTTATAACTTTATTACCTGTTATTCACAGCCTATGCAGGTTCTGTTCACTAAAGCAGACTATATTGGCAAGTACGCACATCCTCTTTGTAGTAAACAAACATGTATGATATCGCAGCCATGAATATGTCATTACATTAAGACAGAAATGGCATTTTGGGGTGAATTACACCTTATAAATACAGTATGTGACACTTTCAACACCATTTGGAGGTGTCCATGTTGCTGAGCAATGAATATAAAACATGAAGATTGTGCGACCTCCTTTACAAATATAACTGTCTGAATCATAGAAAAGCTGAATTAAGATCATGTGTAGGGTGGAATCGAGATTGTGATATATATATTTTTTTAATTAATTAATTGTGCAGCCCTAAAGTAAAGTCCTTTTAATTGCAATCCAAAACCTACATTAAAACTAAAACCTGAAATAAACATTTAAAAATGCAACTTTAATAGAAAACAAAAGCTCAAATACTTGAAATAATACTCAAGTATTTGAATACTTGAATAAATGAAACATTTATTAATTTACAGGGCTCAACAATAAGGACTGCCCGATGGCCTGGGACCAGCATGAGAGATGTTCGGGACAGTAGAGAGAATCGTTACTGGCCTGATCAGGCCAGTGCTGCCTTGTCATCAAATTTTTATTTGCCTGCTACTATGTCAATTATGTGCAAATACAGTCTCAGAACCGAGAAACAATTTGTGCTTTTAAGTCTCAGAATGCTATGTTTTCTGTAAAGTCGTAAACCCCCTATTGCTTTTTGGTTCCTTATAACTGATTGGTTGTTGTGAGCATGTTATTTTTTTCCACAACCTAGTAAAAACCAGAACAGTGAAGAGACGACAACATCAAATGATGAGGCTAAAAGAAAACGTCTGTTTCCAACAATGTGGAAAAAGATATTTACATGGGTACAACACAACGAAAAAAATGAAGTGATGTTGTGCATAGTTTTCCATCACTTTTAAGTCAGCCACTTTTTGTTTAGCAATAAAATACCTGCACATTTTCCATACTGCAGTATTTTACTGCTAAATATTTTAACATTTTAAAAATATTTCAATTCTAGATTCAAAGACATTATTTTTGACACATTATTTAAAATATGTGGCTAAAAAAATAGTTATTTTTATTTATTTCGGTGGGGCCAGTGAAAATTTTGGCAGGACCAGTAAAAATCTGAACTGCTGGTTTAGTTGGGCCAGTAGAAAATGTCCTTAGCGTTGAACCCTGATTCATAAAATTGCATCAGAGATCTGAGGTGTTCTGGCGCATTTGGTCCTCCTTCTGGCATTCTATTGAGGGTACTCAGTGACTGTGTCTTTCTAAATTTGGTTTTATAATAACCTTTTATTTCTGTTTTTGATTTCAAGTTTTTGTATGCACTTGAAACTGAACAAAGATTGCTGTACTTGTTATCACGAGATACCAGAGATACTGAAGATACCACTGTTGTTCTGTTGAAATTTCAAAAATTGTTACGAAACGTTTTATAATTGTTATAAATTATATACCGCCATTGTAATAAAATTAAAAATATATATATTTTGTGATCTGCTAATGGTTACTTCTAACAGCACATAACTGACAATAATGACCAATGAATCGGACAAACAGGAGTCAAACATTTATCAAACTAATACATTAATACAATAAACATTTCAATACTTGTTTGTCTCTTTTTGTTAATTCAGTGAGTAATCCACAAGCAAGTTTAATATTTTCCCAAATGTCAGCACTTTTGCAAATGTGCAGATTTTATCAGGAAGCAATAAGCTAATTTTACATTTACCAGAAACTGATTTAATAATTTATCCAACTAAGATATCAAACAAATATACAACTGAGCTGCTGCATATCACCAAACACACAACAGTGTTTCATCGATGAATGAATCTGTGTCTCATTGAACCAACAAAGTCAATAATTAAATGACCCATTCATAAAGAGACACTTGCTTTGTTCCTGACTGAATCAGCAGTTTGAACCAATCAATTCTAATCGTAAAAAGAATGAATAAAAAATTTAAAAGTTTTTTTTTTTTTTTTTTTAATGCCATCTTTTGTCAGTGTTTACAAGGTTAGGAAGGGGTGGGGTTTCACAAAGATTTAGAAAACTAAAATAAATTTAAAGAGTCAATTATCATCCCCATAATGGAAAGACTAATTCCTGCATGTTAAACTGTGCCCCTTGAATTATTTAATAAATAAACGTAAGAAAAAAGCCAAGAAAGCATTATGTCATTGATGCTTTTAAAGACTGAGCAGAAATGACCATTAGATGAAGCCAAAATGAATCAAACAGTAAACAGTAGAAACAAGCCTTCCATATCAGGTCAAATTGATCAGACTACACACACACGCACGCACACATACATACATACAAACATTCTTATTTATATATATACACACACACACACACACACACACACACAATTGAAGTCAAAATTATTAGCCCCTGAATTATTAACCCCGTTTATCAATTTCTGTTTACCAGAGACCATTTTTTCAACACATTACTAAACATAATAGTTTTAATAACTCATTTCTTATAACTGATTTATTTTATCTTTGCCATGATGACAGTAAATGATATTTTACTAAATATTTTTCAAGACACTTCTATACAACTTAAAGAGACATTTAAAGGCTTAACTAGGTTAATTAGGTAAACTAGGCAGGTTAGGTTAATTGGGCAAACTATTGTATAAGGATGGTTTGTTCTGTAGACTATCGAAAAAAAGGTTAGCTTAAAGGGGCTAATTATTTTGTCCATAAAATGATGTTTAAAAACTTAATAACGGATTTTATTATAGCCAAAATAAAACAAATAAGACTTTCTCCTGAAGAAAGAATATTATCAGACATACTGTGAAAATTTCCTTGCTCTGTATAAAAAAGAAAAAAAAATCAAAGGGGGCTAATAATTCTAACTTATTTCAAATGAAAAATTATGTGTGTGTGTGTGTATATATACACACACACACACACACACACACACACACACACACACACACACACAGACAGACAGACAGACAGACAGACAGACAGACAGACAGACAGACAGACAGACAGACAGACAGACAGACAGACAGATAGATAGATAGATAGATAGATAGATAGATAGATAGATAGATCGATAGATCGACTAACTAACTGCTTTCTTTTATATAATACCGTTGTAATTATCCTGTTACAAATGACATTTTGTTTTGAGTATATAAATATATATATATATGAATAGCCATCAGAGATAATCTACATTATTAAATTAAAGTTATGTACTTGACAATGCTCCTAAGACCAAAACAAATAGTCGCAGAAAATAACAAGAGGGCTTTTTTTGGCTTACCATGTGATCTGGTCTTGCTCCAATTTGAACCCTTAGGAGCGAAGGAGTCTCTACAGCCTGGACCTAAAAGAAAAACACAAGACTGATAATTAAAAAGGTCGAAAAATAATTTTTGAACTATAAACGTAAAAAAAAGTTTCACTTTGACAAACAAGCGCCTGTATTTGTAATTGCAAAACACGAGACAGTGGTTTAATTTCAAGTGAACATCATATTGTTTAGTTAAGGTATTGTAATGGGTTTTCAAACTAAAACTAGAAAGAGCTCAGATATTTCTCTTTCTTCTGGTGCATCAACAACAGCGCAGTCAAAAAGGAAAAGCACAAAGCTACTCATTAGGCAGAGAGCACACTACAAAACTGAAGGCTCACATTGAGAAGTCTTAGATGTCTGTGGCAAACAAAAATGTGTCCGTATGCTGGAAGAGCATCGCTAATGGTCACATACTGAAATTTGTCTTCAATCTGGGGTTTTTTTGAAAAGTAAAGGCAATGCAATTCAGCAAAAAACAACTTCTAGTCTTAATTCTATACCATTTGTCAGTGTGCCGTTTCATTTCTGGACTGTGATTTCAGACAAACAACCATAAATCTGACAAAACCTACAATTAGCTGTGTAAAATGCACAAAGCCCCATTTCTACATTCAATTAAAGTATTCAAGAAATCTAAATTGATCCTGGTTACTTTGTTTAGCAGTGAAATAAACACCCCAAAATTAGACATGTGCCGATAAAACCTTTGAAAATTGATTCAAATAAATGACAATTAAAAATGCTTAAGATGCCAGAGAAATAGCGATACAATTAGAATAGACATCTATCTGAATGTATTGTATGTGGTATTTTCAGTTCATCTTTAAATAATTTTCATTAGTTGACTTTTTAACTAGAACTACTTATATAAGCGGCAGTAAAAAAAAAAGAAAAAAAGGAAAGAAAAGAAAAACATGACTGGATTTGATATTAGGAGAGGCTTTCTAGTGCTAAAGAGAAGGCCTGAAAACCGATACTAAAGCAATGCATCCATTCTTTCTGGACACATGATTAACAGATATGATCCATTTTACTCAAACCAAGACATTATATGGCAAATGTCTTAAAGGTCTGTGTATCTGCCTATAATTGGTTTTCTCGTTGTTTTCAAAATGGAAAAACTAATATTATTTATGCAGAATTTAAACCTTATCACAGTGCTGTCGCCTCACAGCAAGAAGGTTGATGGTTTGAGCCTCGGCTGGGTCAGTTGGCATTTCTCTGTGGAGCTTACATGTTCTCCCTGCGTTCGCATGGGTTTCCTCCGGATGCTTCGGTTTTCCCCACAATCCAAAGACATGCGGTACAGGTGAATTGAGTAGGCTAAATTGTCCATAGTTTACGAGTGTGAATGAGTGTGGGATGTTTTCCAGAGATGGGTTGCAACTGGAAGGGCATCCGCTGCGTAAAAACATATGCTGGATAAGTTGGCGGTTCATTCCGCTGTGGCGACCCCAGATTAATAAATGGAGCAAGCCGAAAAGAAAATGAATGAAAGAATGAACCTTCTCACATTTCCTTTATAAAAAAAATATTTTTTTGAAATATGTCTTTTTGTTTTCATCACATTTTGTTTTTACAGGCGAAATTAAAATGTGATAACCAAAATAAAAAAGCAGCTTTAAAATCTGTTCTCTGTGTGGGCGGGAATTATAAACGCCCCCTCTCTGCTTATTGGTAGTCCAACCATCAAACTGTGCCATCATCAGCAGTTTATTCGTTTTTCCATTTTGAAAACAAAAACCAGAAAAACAATTAAAAGACTGGTACATAGACCCTTGAAGACAGTTGTTTGTTATCTTTGCATTCATTCACTAAAGAGACAATAATATACAAGTCCTTATTGGTATAGATCAGTGGCGCCAGAGTTCACAGGGGGGGCGCGGGAGAGGATAAGTATTGAGGTAGAAAAAGGCATAAAAGTGCTCCACTATTATAAAGGGCTTTGCAATTAATCGAAAATCCGATTTAGATTTCGGTTTCAAACGATTATAAAAAGCATTAATCGAGATAAATGATTATTGCATCATATTTCGCCACAGTTGTACACGTGTTGCTCTTAAAAGCGCGAAAGAGCTTATGTGTGTGTGCAGCACGATCACGCAGTCAGAAGCATGCGGCCGGTCAGCATTCACTCTCATTCACACACTGAGACGAGCAGAGGAGCGTAGACATCTAAAGTCATCTTAACGTGAACGCTTTAATGGTCAAATAGGTGTTAAACGCGATGTTTAGTGATTATTTACATTAACCCTCATTTGTGTAATAAACAAACGAGTTGAGGATCAAAAGACGTGAAAGAGAAACCTATGAAGAGACAGCGCGCTATATTCCTTCTGCCGCCTGTTTTTATCATTATTAAACAAACATAACGAGAAAACCCTCGCTGCTCTTGACTGAAGGACTGCTGTAGCTAAAGTGTTTTTCTTACAGTGAAGATGCTTAAAGCACAGTTTGCTTCATATTTTTATTCTATTGTATTTATTTCTCTTTCCTTTGCAGGGTGGAAAATAACTGTATATACAGTTGAAGTCAGAATTATTAGCCCTCTTGAATATTAGCAAACCTGCCCAATTTCTGTTTTCCCCCTCCAACCCAACCTCATTGAGCAGGTGTAATATTCATTAATATTAATTAATATTCACTAAGGTGCCGCTGTTTGGGGTGGATTGATAGTTACATCATCATTAACCTGCGGGCTGCATTTTGCTCACGGGGCTGCGAGAAAATAAATAAAAAGAGCAGGGCTGCGGCAAAATAATGAATAAAAATAAGTGTGGCTATGGTCAATTAAATAAATAAATGAAAAAAGTGCAACTGCTGAGAGTGCAAGCAGCTAGGGAAACCGGCCTTCGCGGCCAAAAAACGGACCAGCCCACCGGGAATTCTCCCAGTTCTCCCGATTAGCCAATCCGGGCCTGTGTATAATATGATAACTACTTGGACTATCATAATGTAGTGAACTGTACATAAACAGTTTTTTTTTAATGGAACTTTTTCGCGTTGGGTAGAGTTGTGCCTATTTTGGTTAAGGCCATGTTTTTCAAATCAATACCTTTTGGCAGAAAATGCTTACTTCACCTTTCATTGAAAGGAATAAGATCGACACTGGAACATCAAGCCAAAATAACTGCATATTACAGCCAATTGTAGCAATGCTTGTGCACGAAAGGAAAATATTACAAAACAAATTCAAAAGTAGTTTTACAGAGTATGACCTTGAGATTTTGTAAGACTCTTCGAAAGAACTTTTTAGCTCCACATGAATGACGGAAGCAATTATATTTTTGATAGATTTTTTTTTATTCTTTTTTTCAGAACTCTTGTATTAGTGACTTGACAGGTCTGTAACCCAAATGTATTTCTTTGTAAAAACTGCTTTGTTTGCACATTTTTGAGCAATTCTGCTGTCAAACATACTGCTTGCATTCTTATTCAGTCTCAGCAGAGAATTGAAAATAGAAAACCGCCTCTGGAAAAACTTAATCATTCAAATCCATTCCAAAAAAAAAAATACAATAATACTGTTAAACATGTACAGATCTCCAAGAGGACTATAAACTGTCTTTACCCACTGGGTGGTTTCTCAAATTAAACATTGTGAAACCTAAATTTTAACCACATTTTTCCTAAGAGGAACACAAGTGTCTTGGCAACGTTAGACAAAGTGTTCTCTCTCATCCTCACCCAGTGGGATCTGGATTGATGAGAAACACATCTGAAAGGATTCCTCCATCAAAGTCTGTTCCTGCTGCCCATTTACAGAGGTTTGGTCGATGCATATGACAGTGTCTCGGCTTACTTTCGGGCTAGACTATCATTACAGCATATTTTTCTCGCACAGCAGCATTTCACCATGGAGATGCCCTTTCCTGAACCTTGACTCTCACCCTTTTAGCGGTCTAGAGTTGAGTCTGGTGAGAGAATGAGAGAAAGAGTTTAATTGGGTCATCTGAGACCGGCAGAAGAGACGTGCGGGACTGATGAAGGTCAACGGAGGCAAAACACGATAAGGTTGCACGCGCTAAAAACTGCTTGTCAGAGGGAAAAAGAGTGGAGGAGGCACAACGGTCGAGAGGCCAGATAGAAGCCAACAAAAGGCCACAAAAGAGAGCTGAGGACATAATTATTGCAACTAATTGGACACAACGTGTGAAATTATATATCAGAGCGCTCTTGCTGCAACGCAAATGACACCTTGCAGGTTTGGCTTGTATGTAAGAGTGAGGGGGAAAAAATAATCACAGCCTCAAAATGCTTTTATATGCATATGAAATATAATTATTTACACATACATGCACAATGAATAAAGCCCCTTTCCACTTACCATGTGATAATATTTCAAGTGATCAAATCTCAACTGGTAAGCAGGGATGCATTAATGTTTATACCTGGCATTAACATACACTTTGGATTTTGTTAAAGAGCCATGAACCCCCAAAGTTTTTCTACTTGTTTGAATTATGGTTGGCAACAAAATGTGACGTCTCTTTGAACACTGTAAAAGATTTTTTAAAAAAAAAGAGTCTTCGAAGCTAATTTATGCATATTAATGCAGTTGCACCTCATTCAAAATACAGCACGCTGATTGGTTCAAGTGTTTCTCATGCATTAATGCTGAAAACTAGTCCTAGCGCAGGGTGCAAAAGCATTAAGGGCCACTTTTACCAGGTTAACGACATAAAATATCAGATTTGCGATGGTCAAACAGGGTTAAGCTTATTCTCTTAATGAGTTATGGGTGTGTTTTGAGAAGAAAAAAAAACAATCAGAGTCTCATCTCCCATTCCCTTTAAGAGACATTTGCGTTGCTCCATGGTGCAATTGCTATTTACATTGCGGACTTTGTAATTGGAAAAACTAAAAGCTTCACTAGCGAGAAAACCGTTACACAGACCATCTGCACTAGAGAATGAGAGAATGACCCTTCTCATTCTTTACTTTCACTTTCACTCTCTTTCCTGGATAGAGAAATATGTTTTACGCACAGATATCCATTAGCACACATAATTAAATTCAAAACTGTTTCT